TGATCATCTCATGGTCTCACTTATTCTCACGCACAGTATAAGTTAGTTGGTAACTGTCTCAGCAAAGCAACTTAAGCAAGTATTAATGCTACTGATATGACTTGTCTTTTTATCGTTGTGGCATTACGTTCTTTGTTGAACAGACTTTTCAAATAAGTCCTTACGAGAACGGCAAAAGGGCGAGATATCTGTTAGTAAAACAGCCCGCTTGCCGCCATTTACTTTGTGGAGAATATACCGCTATTGGATTTTTTAATGAGGTACTAAGAAGTGAACAGCCATGAACAAAGCGGTAAGCTTGCAAGTGGTTCGATTTGAAAACACCTGCTTTCTGCTCATTCTTAGCTTCTCAATATCCATTAACTCTTGCGTTAATCTTTTCGCTGTCTGTAATCACGAAAGAACGTCAGACACTCTATCCTGGAAACCTGAGCAGATCACGCAAGGGCAGTCAGTTTGTACTCGTTAAAACGAGCAATAATTTCACGTCCTTCACGGATGGAGAATAATTAAATCACTGCTACTTTCAGGTAAATAAGAGGCTAACACCACCATATCGGTTTTCTTTGACCTTGGTATAAATTAGATGATTAAAAGAAGACTTTCCAAGTTTGCAATATGACGAGTATTAATCATTTTCTATTCGCTCCTTCGCTACAATGCTGCTGTCCCGCCTGGATACGTGCTGCGCACGCCTTTTGGCGGTAAACATCTTTTGACGGCAATCCTTCAAAAATAGACGGGTTACCGAACCATGAAAAACATTTATCCGATCAATTCAACTGTAAACGGGTTCTTTTAAAGTTGTCGAACGAACGAGCGTCTCTTGGATTGATGAAGAGTGAGCCTAAAGTGTAAATAGAAACAATGCTAGGCTGGATTTTGTTTCGAGACTTTCAGTGCAAATGAGAACTTCTACTACTTTGTTATTTGACCATTTTTCATATTTTATCTCGCACGGCAAGCCTTTGTTTCTGGTTTCTCGCGATCCTTGGCAGGAAGGCAATAAAAATTAGGAACAACCTACATGAGTCCTTGCCTCCTGTAGATGCACAGTTCTGTTCCCTTGTAGACCGCTTCAGATCATGCAGGAAGCTTTGATAGATCGTATTCGTCAATTTGTCTGATAAGAATAATCATTTATATTATCTACAAAAAGCCTCGTCCTTCAGCAAAAGTGCATCAGTTATTTCTCCTAGAAAACTACGTAAAAGCTCAAAACAGTATTTTGCTGTTGCCTCTGTTTGCAAGACGATTTCCTTCATCCATTCAGACCCAAATTTCAAATGTAAATTCTCTATTTTACTGCCGTATATTTCTCAGAAAGTTAGTTCTAAGAATTTAGTGATATACACATCAAACAATCTCCGATCTCTATCTGATCGTTTGTCTCTTTGACAAATTAGTTTGATATTTGTCAGGAGAAGTTATCTATATACCGCCTTAGGATTAGAACCCACTGATCATCACAAGAATAATAATGACTAAGACATAAGCACCGCACCGTAAAACCGAGATGTTGGAGATGTGTAAATCGGTAAACGAACGTTGTAAAATAACTTGTAAAATCTAAATACCTGTAGAAGGGACTCAGCATTAAACGGACAGCAGCCAAGGTCCCAACATACATTTCCCCTATATACTGTAAACTATACAGAAACCAAGAAAGCAGCTGAAATATAGTCGTTTCTATGATGTAAACCTGTAATAACGGATATTTAGAGCGCTTTTTATGCGACCTAAAATTCCGGAACTGTCAAAGTGGGGCATATGGTACCGACATTTCCTTGAAGGTTTCCTGAAAATTCTACAATTTATGAATTTCCAAGATGCGAACGTTCCGGAAAACGCTGGAGCAAACGACGACCCCAAATTTCACGGCAGAAACCCTCATAAAATTTGGTAAACGTGACCAGGTGATCCTCTTAACGGAAACAATGTTCCACTCAACACTGCAATTTATAGAAAGTCAGAACGAAATTTTGGGTTCATATTGAAAAGTGCTCTTGTATTCATATTCGACCTCCGGAAAAACCCACGGGGCTTCCAAGGTTGAATAGCCCTGCAGTATTCTTGCTATTGTGGAAAAAAGGATCTCTCGTATAGCCATCAGTTGCTTCAGATTTCAAAAGCTTCAGAAACTCTAGAACTTAAACAATCATACATCGGCAATTTCTTCACAAGATAAAATGTCCTCTTGAAAATTGTAATAACCGTTCAACTAACTTTTTCGCATTATGTGTTTTTCTTATAAAATTTCCTTACGGTTGCATTTTAGATCCCCCTCTTCGGTTCTTAACTGTGTCATGTCTCAGTTGTGTTTGTGTACACAAACTATTTCTCTAATGTAATTAACTGAACCTTGCGGCATAATCTATGGAACTATACATATTACTTTGAACATTTTTCCAGTTTAAACAAAGCAATTGAACGCAAATACATCAGCCTTATGACCCTAATTCCATATATGTATCCAACGTGCCTGATTAGAAATGACATTTGACGCACAACGTTATGTGTTCTTATATCTTGTATAAAGCAGACACTAGAGCATTTCCCGAAAGGGGAAGGGGACGGCGGCGTTATTTTCCTATGATTGGCAAAGACTTACAGACTAAAGTTCTAGCTTTATAAATTCAACGCCAACTTGAACGGGCACATATTATCTGCTGGAACTAACATTAAAATGGGAGTTGTTTGCTTACTGCATCATAACTGCATACAATCAACAGGCAATTTAATGTTAGGTTTCAAAAACCTTGATGAGAATATTCCATATGTGTAGTGACGGTCTCTCAATGGCCACTCAATGACTTTATTTCATTACTGATCGGTATAACTGTGACTGTGTTCATAGTTTGATGGAAAAGTAAATAAGATCGTTGAAATTTTAAAGCACATAAATCTTTCATAGTAAGTGGAAGAAAACGGGACAAAACTGTCTCTTGTGAAAGGTTATAGCAATAATAATAATGATAATGATAATAATGATAATGATAATAATAATAATAATTAAAATAACAAACTTTATGGAGTACTTTTTCATTTAAACTTGAATCTTACATGTATCTGGTAAAAATTCAGAAATTCAGTTGTTCCTTAAGTTTTTTCCCTAAAATTATTCCTGTAAACATTTCCATAGCCTACCTACATAATTATACTCTGTAAGCATTGACAAGCATTAAGTAGCTATGTACACAAGTAATGGCAAATTAATGTGAAATGATAGTAATGTGTATACTCTAGGCAATTCCTACCCTACATGTCCTTCTTTTCAACAGAGGGAAGAATAAACGTTGCAGAAATGTTAAAGAAAAAAAGCTAAGGGCTAAAATAAATAAAACCAGTATTAAAAATCAGAGTTTCGCCCAAAAAAAGAAAGGAGCTAATAGGTGGTTCCCTCTGCAGTTTCGACGTCAAAGTCCGCATCCTTGAAATCACAGGGGACTCTCCTGGTTGTCCTAGAACCTCTCAAACAGATTAGGGCAGATCTCAAGAGTGCAAACGACGTTTTTGCTCTGATCCAGGACATCGTCTTCGCGTACTGTTCCCCCTTCTTTAGCGCTATCAACTCGGCAAGGCGACTGTGGTACCTCAAGCATTCCTGACCCAGTCCTCCGGTTGTAGTGAATACTAAGGGCGTGAATGTTCCGTGTTCAACGTCGAGAACTCTGCTTGAGTACTGACGCTTCTGCTCATGTTCATGCGTTCTGTAAATCTTTTGTGTCTCTAGGTCCCTGTACGATTCTGCATTTAGGTGGCAAACCCTGACATCGAAGAAAGCCGATCGTTGGTGTTCCCAGGAACCACGTGCGTGAATATTCAGGAGTTCCGCTTCCAGGTCTCTCGCTTACAAATCGTATGCATGGCGTGGTCTACCATAAAGATTTCCCCACAAACACAGGTAGAGGGAATATCATCAACTGGTCAGCATCACGGAACTCCCGTTTATTTAGGTTGAAGCCCATTTCTCGGAGGGAAAGCACTGTCAGCCAGACCGATGACCCTTTTTCTGCTACCAGGCCTAGTGTTCGCTTGCACTCGCGGTGCACTCTCCCTGAGCCTCTCCACCGTGTCCTTAGTTCTTCTGCTCTTTCGCTCTTAACTGTCTGCTTTGCCGACTTAACTCGTCTGGCAGCTTATGTGTTTAAGACATAATATGCTCAACGAGGGGCGTCGTCACTTTGACACATGAAGGATACTCCCGACGTGCTTCCCGGCTTGGATTTCCAAGGCACAAGCTGCTCCCAGACGGACTGGAAACGCTAGGATGTCTCTATCTATATGTTCACAGTTACGTTCCGTTATCGCTGGAATAAGGATTTGAGATATTGCATTCTCCAGTAATAATAATGATAATGATAATAATGATAATGAGCAGGCATCCCCTCCGTATACACCCTTCTTCGCCAGAGACGTCTGCGGTGGATTGGCCATGTACATCGAATGGATGAGGGCCGCATTCCCAAGCAACTCTTGTACGGAGAACTAGTACAAGGAAAACGGCTGGTAGGACGACCGAAGCTCCGTTTCAAGGACGTGGCGAAGAGGGACATGCAGGCCATTGGTCTTCCNCTTCTCCGGCTGAAAAAATCAGTAGCACTAAACACTGTATTTTCCAGCAAGTATTTAAAAAGAACATTTTTAAAGTGCACCGTATACGCATGCAGGAATAATGATGCGATATTCATTATATTTTATCATTGCTTTCACAACGTGATATTTAACACTAGTAGACCCGTAGCCTCATGGGCTATTGACCCGTGGCCCTTGAGGGCGAAGGGTCTGATTTTTTTAGTATCACCCAACTAGTCGGACAGAAAAGGCAACAATGACGGTTAGCAAATGCAAGTTAAAGAAATATTTATTTGGGAATAAAAGGAAAGAAAGCGTCACGCTCGATTGCGCCAATTTCACTACTCGAGGACTATTACTAATAGTCCTCTAGTAGCGTAGCCAATTAAAATTCAGGATTTGCATGTGTCCAGTTGTTGGGTGATACTAATAGCTGATAGCTCGATAGTTAATGGCTCTATGATTTAATCTCAACCAGTTTTCTGTTTTCTGCCTACCTTGCCAGGGAATCGTTTGACAACTTTCAGTTTGAAAAACTATGTCATCAATGGCAATGATTGCGCGTCGGGAAGATTTCCATCCTTCGAATACAACCTGATGACATAAACAAGTTCAGCAATGACCAATCTCTTTATAGGACTCAGGGAATTTACGTTGCATCGCTGCCAGGACTGAATATCTTTCAACTGGAAATTTCATTCAGATTTTAAGACTTCGATGAAACATTCTAGCGTACCTATCATGGAAACAATATGTCTCTGACATTCAAGTTTTGATAATTTTTAATTTTTAATCTATTACGTTCTATCACGTATGCCGTTCTCTTATTGGCTACCCTATTTGCTATCGATGCTGTTGTTACTGAACAGACGCAAGAAACATGAATTCTACTCGTTAAGTAGGTAGTGTGTAGCCCAGCAGAGTGCGCGGTTGTTAACAAAATAGTGGCTGCTTTGCGTTTTCAAATTGTCTGTGAAGGGCACTGAGATAAAGTTTTGAACGAGAAGTAGATTTTAGATTACTCGGTCTTGATTTCTATGCGTAGTACTTTGTATTCGTCGAGGGCATGGTCGGAATCAACCATCACGCAAAGCTCTATCACAAAGCTCTATTTAATTAGGAGTTATAAAAAACCACCTTCTTCGTTGCATTCTATTTACCTGATAGGACGTAGCTCCGACATCAATGGGTAACCGAGCGTAAGACCAGACGCCCACATTCTTTTGATATGGAGTCGAACTCCATGCCGTCCATCTTGTCTGATTAGAAATCAAAGCCACTTCGAGAAAAGTGAATCCGAAAGTACCGAGGTAATACCAAAACTGTAAACACTTCCATCCCGCTCCGGCAAAAATGGGACGACTTTTCAAATACCCGTAACATGCTGCTTGTTTGTAGCAACTCTTGAAATAAGTAAATCCTCCTAATAAATGATAACATCAAATTAAACTAATGACTTAAGGGAAAGTTGATGTAAACTGTATTAATCTGGTGATTCCATTACATTTCACAACCTTACAGCGTTGTTCTACATTTGTGTGCAACTGCACTCTTAGCTCGCGATTCAATTCAATTCAGTTATAGAGAAAAATTCACTGCCTGACGAGTGAATAACTCGTTAAATTTCACTTGAAAAACCGATCGCTAAATACCCTCTCTTTGATAGCCAATCAGACTGCGAGTTTACCTTAAGCTATGCGATTCTTATATATATGCCCACTATAAAGGGCATTTACACACATTTTATATGGTAAAGTGATGAAAATAGTAAAATACTAAGAAATAAGTCTAAAGAGATAAAATTTATATATGAGCGCAAACAACAAGTGATCCCTTTTGTAGTAAGCGAGAATGAACACTCAACTTTTGCTTCCATGTTTTAGGTATTGCGATCATCTGTTCTACTTTATGTAAAGTCCGCATTTGGACTAACGTCCCTGTCAGATACAGTTCCATAAGGTCGTGTTTCAATAGCGACAGAACTCAAGTCGATGCCGCTACCTTGAATGAACCAGTTCTACTCAGTGGACCTGGCGTTTACTTGAACCAAGCGCATACCTTAAGCCGGCCCAAGGGAACTGAACCTGACGTAATACGGTCTTTATGCAGAAAATTCCCATTTTCTCTGTAGTTGCCTACTAATGAATGATAACATATGAATTCACATATTTGAAATGCGGAATGACAATTTAATTAGAGGAAAGACAATCGCAGTGCAATACACTTATATTCTAATTCGCTGTCCCGCTCAACCGAATATAAAACATTCATCATGTAATAAGCAACCACTTGTGGGGAGTACGTGTCAACACGAGCGCAGAGGCGGTCGTATGACTCGAATGAATACAACTGATGACAACGCAATATACCGATACCCCGCTAATGAAGCATTGTGACAAAGTGTCACATAACACCCAAAAGGAGGTTACGTAATCCATGATAAATACATAAATTAATAAGTTGTAACTAAGCCTTAAACCCGTATATATAAAAAAAAGGAATTAGGCTTGAACGGCAGCTCTTACCGACATTATTTTGCCAATCATTTCTTAAGAACAGCAATGGAGAAAACTTGCTCATCCGCCAAGCACCGCTGGCCACCCAAGTACAATGATCTAGTTCAAACAGGCATCCGGGATATTCTATAACAGGCAAAGACACGTAACGTAAACAGTCAAAATTACGAAGGCTGTTTCCTAGCAGGTTTAAATTTCAAGAGGAACGTTGTCGATAAAGGAATTTGTGGACGTCACCGTGATAAAGTCGTGACTAGAAACGATAACCGCGAAGTGATATGATATTATTTCACGGCAGCGAAATGATATCATATCACTTCACTGTTGAATTGTCCAATCAAATAGACTATAATAAATTGGTTGGGCCAATCGGGTTGCACGTTATATTTTTGTTGACGCCTGCTGAAAATTTGGCGGGAAGTATTGCTTTGCAGTTTTATCATCGAAATGGCGCTTCAAGATTTGTGAATGTCTCTTTCTCAGTTCCTCGAAGAGAACAAAAACAGCTTGATATTTTTTAAGCATGTAATATGTAATAAGCCCACTAATATGTAATGGGCTCACTCGCTTGAAGACTAGCTCGTTCGCGATATGGTATTAAAAACTCGTGGATAAAAACAATATCAGGGTCTTAACGTGTAATAATCTGTATATGGCAAGTGAAAACATTCAATTTAACTAATCGGAGCGTCTACAGTTCTCGTCTGCTGTAATTTTCGCGCTTCCTCAAAATGTTTCCAGGAAATTTAATTGTTCGGTCAAATTCGCTCTCCAAACAAATATACAAACCAAAAGAAATAAAAGAAACTAACCATTTCCCTGTATGGTGTAGCATTCCTCTCCGTCTTGTAAAAAAAGATCATCGATAGCTATATCACCATGAAATCCTTTCCCAACGACACCCTCTAGAACAACCTTGAAGAGATCGTGGGGAAACAATGAAACAGTGATAATTTACGCCCAAATTTTCACAGGGATCTCAGTGGTGTTAACACTTCAATTGCAGCCGCAGACAAGAATACCTCGAACGCTTACCAAAACTCGAAACGGACACGAACACTGATTCCACCTATGTCCGTGGTTCTTGTCACCGCATCTGACGATCACGAATCGGACTCCAAAGCCATCTCAGAAAATGTTTAAGGAAATGTACAATTACTAACACACGCTAAAATTATGGACTAGATTGTCCGATAATGCCAATACATACATACATACATATTTCGTTAAAAAATTTTCTTATAATTCCCCCTCCCCCCGCTCAATGTTGAACCTTTATAGGTAAGGACTATTTGGGCAATATGTTTTATTGCTCACAANAGCCATCTCAGAAAATGTTTAAGGAAATGTACAATTACTAACACACGCTAAAATTATGGACTAGATTGTCCGATAATGCCAATACATACATACATACATAATAATAATAATAATAATAATAATAATTTTTTATTTTTTAATAATAATAATAATGTTTATTAGTGGCTTATAAAAAATTACAACTGTAAAAATTCTAATAGTAATAATAATAAAAGTATCAATAGTAACAGTAGTATTAGTAGTAATAATAATTATATAGAAAAACATTTGAATCGTAGTTTGGCCTTTATTCTATTTTTATTTTCTGGCAAGAGTACACGAGTTTCAGTTCTGTCAGGCAAACAATCGATTAATTCTGTCAACCTTAACAGCTACAACATGCAAGAGGACTACTGCATTAATGTAATGCGATATCGACCAGCTGTTTTTCTGTAAGTTTCTTTGAGACAAGGTTATCAATAAAAATAACTTTTGAGAATCTCTTTCCATCTAGTTCAAAGAAATGAAGGCACTAGATCATCAAATATGAGTTGTAACTTGAAGTGATCAAATGAGTATCCGCTTTATAAATCGAAAATAAGAAGTTCATAACTACCAAAGAATCAGATTTGACAACTTAAAATAAAGGTGTCCTTTAATCTTACTACGACATTTAGTTCTTATACCATTTAAGAAACAATAAGGATTTATGTAATGGAGACTAATCTTAAGAGCCATGTTTTTAATTGTTTTTGTTTTTTCATTATTACCATTCTAACATTCAACGCTCCTTACAGTTTTATTACTTAAACAAACTAGTTTGTTCACCTGTTCCTCCATAGATAGATAGACAATTTTATAAAATCACAATATTTTTCCTTCAAATACCATTTCATACTTTTTTGAAAAAATTCGCGACTAGTAAAGGAACCGATCAAGTAAGCCAGCTGTTTGTCGCTGACTTATTCATTTCGTATTACTTTTTCATTTAGACATGTACGAATTTTTATACTAAACACTGGGGTCCGACACTGGACTTGATTTCGTTCCTTGCTTCACAACAGCACTGGCATCTCCATTCTAAACTGTTCGACAGTATGTGCCACTTCCTGCGTTAGTGGGGAACACTTACAGTTCTAGTGAAAATGAATCTTTCATGATCCTCTTACTCCAGTTCATGTGCAATAACCAGAACACTGCGCCTGCCCTAACCAAAGAAGTCTTGCATGAAGTGCCTTTGCTGGTACCCGAGATGCTTTTACAGCATCATGACGTAGATATCTTGTGAATTATTGAAGGGGGAACAAATTGCAATTTGTTCTTAGCGAGTTTTTCAAGACATGACGACAACATTTGAAAAAGTGTGCCAGACTTTTTCAATTTAATATCACAACCTAGTGCATGCGCAACCATTATAGAAGCCATATTCAGTGCACTGTATTTGCATTGGTTAGGTTTCCATAGCTGTCTGTCGGGTTTTGATTTTCGAAGTCATGTTCATAATAGTGCCCCTGTAATGCCTTAGAGGCAATGAACCTTTAAGAAAATACGTAAAGGATGGCACCTCTTGAAAAAAGGTATTCAAATTGGTTGTGGTGATCAGTTCACCTCACTCTTAACCTATTCCTGATTCTTCCTAGTTACTATTACTCAGTCTTTCTATCTTAGCGCCTTATTGTTTGCTGAACGTTGGTTACCTAGCGATAATACGTTGAGTACTTTAAGTACATTTGTAACCGTGACGTACAATTCCATGCATAAGATGGTATGTATAATTTAGCTACATTGGATATACATTTCTTAATTATCTTATTTATTTTATGAATCGGAAAAGAGGGGTAACTTTCTTTCCACCGGTAATAATATATACAACTTGTAATAGTTCTACTGTTCTTGTTTGTCGGAAGCTTCCCCGGGACTACCAGTGGCTATTGTCTCTCTTGCTTCTTGCCTCCATTTCATTCGCCTGTTTTGAAACCATACTTTAACCTGGTTGTCAGACAAACCCAACATGGAGGCCAGCTGATGTCGATCTGCTTTTGTTAAATATTTCTGAAGCTGGAAACGCTTTTCCAGTCCCTTTCTTTGAAGATTAGAAAACACTGCCCTGGTCCAAGGCCTCCTTGGTTTTCTCGGTTTTGGTTGGCCGGGTAGGACTTGTCCTGGTATTGTTTTATTGAGTACTGAGGCGCTGTAGTCTCCGTACATTCCTAAAAACAAATTAAAGTGAGTTGAAATATCTATATCGATTACAATCCATTGCAGAAGTGAAGCTCATGTCTTTTTCAATATAAAGATGTAGCATTCTTCATAGTTGGAATGCAGTACTCGTTTACACAGAGAAGGGTATGTTGGTGTCCAGTAAATGGCATAGTTTACCTGTTAATGAGCTGTATGAGTAAGGAGCGTGGCTGTAACAGGCTTCACAGTTGGAATGAAGTAATGATCCACACAGGAATGGTTGTGTGTGTGCCGCCAAGTAAGGTGAAGTCCAATAGGTCGCGTGAAGATGATCACATGTATTGGGAACCATCGAATAAGCGCCTAGCCAAAAAAAAAAAAACCAGCAATGTTAACTTGAAGCATGTACTACTCTGTCGTTTTGTTTTTACCGGGAGGAACATTATTATATATTTAATACATGAAGGAAAATTAGATTGGCTAATAACCTTATGCTTTGTACAGCAATCCACAAAGTGTGCAATGTGACCACGATGTTGCCATGTTCAAGACATTTTGTTAGTGTTTTTGTTCATGCTATAATGTTGTATGATGCTGTAATAAGTCAGTTTAGAGTGCGGACTTTAAACTACCTCTGGATAACTATATTTCCTTGTGAGTCTTAGAGGGTTAACCCGAAAGAGAATCAAAATGATTGACCGACTTATCAATTTCATTCATAAAAAGAAACAGTTGCACCCAGAACAATACTTTGGAATGCAAATGACCTGAAAACGCGTTCCCATTCAAATTGTTTACAACTTTTTGGTTGGTGCATGAAAATCTCCAATATGACCATTCAAATGAAATTTGTTCACGATTTTATTAATTTGTCTAGTCAATAAAAATTACACTGAGTGCAATTTTTATCTAGGCCAAAATGGGTCATCTCTTGTCGAGACTGATAGTTAGTGATATGTTTGCGCTGTTTTTTCTCTTCGTTTAATCAAGATGAACTATTAGGGAGTCCTTCCTAAAGTGGAGTAAATTTGAACCAACTTCTTACAAATGCATTTAATCACTTAAATTCGGTTAGCAGAGTAGCAGCCAAAACACAATAAACCTGGCATAAAAAACTTTTTTTTACGTAGTTATTGTTGTTTTCCCATTATCAATCATAGCAATCACATTTGTTTCGAAAAAGGCGGCAATATTATCTTTCTATTAAAAGAATAAATTAGGACAATACATAACCGAATATTGTACTGTTATTTCCTTTTTGCTTGTCTGGAGAGACTTGGTGGTAAAAATAACTTGTAACAGATAACGAAAAGTTGGTCCAGGTGTACATGAATATTAGAGAAACGAAAATAACATTTTATAGTGATGTTTTGGGTATTGGTCTGCACGAATGAAAACAAACTAAGATAATACAAGGTTTGCCTACGATGATACATTGCGAAACTGTTAGGATTCGTCTAATGCAATGAAAATAAACAAGTTGAGGTCAATATCAGTAGCTAATTGCAGCCTTATTGTTTTAATATAATTGTGTTAATTGACCTGAGTGTGCCATGTTACGTTTATTGCAAAAGAGTTGGTGATCTATTCTCGCTTAAGGAAACAAGAGTAAAATATAACTACAAGCCAAACAGTTATCAAAGGATCTTTCATTGGTTATTTTCTTATTTTTTCCTAATGATAAGAACGGTGGACAATACATTGTTTAGTAGTGCATTAGTGTCATAATACATGCTACTCACTAAAATAGGGCTTAATTTTCAAAAGTTCTTAAAAAACGTGTCTTTAGTCTCAAAAACACGTGCACTTATTCACATGAAAAGCGTTCTCTCAAGGTTAATGACAACCTTTCAAACTTTTACGTATGCCTTTAGTAAGGTCTGAAACTGAAAGTTTTGTTCTAATTGGGTGGTCATTCACCGCAACAGGAGATCAGACGGGTTTGACACAAGATCCCTGTCAACGTCATTTGCGCAAACTTTCTCACGCTAGCCAAAACGATCTCGTGAGTAAGGTCGCCTCTATAAATAGTTTTTTGTGACTTTTGAAAGCCAGAATAGTTTTTGTTATGCAGTAAAAATATTTGTCTTTCCGATCTGCTGACGAATGATGTCCATTTCAGCTTTTATCGCATTCATAAAACAAAGCAACACAAACAAGTAAATGGATTTTAGAAAACTGATTCAATCTATTGCCGCGCCTCTATTGTGAAGCCTTTGTTGATCTGTCTTTCTTGATTTAATTCATCTTGAACTTCATTCTCTGAGACTTTTTTCGACAAGGTGATGTTCACTCTCGACTACAAAGGAATTAGCGTCTAATCCATTTCTAGCTGGTAGCATTAGATGATTTGTGTATTTAAGTTTTGTTTGAAGGCAGTGCGAGGCGTGGCGCTTTGTTTAATGTGTGACAGCTATTACAAGAAATAAATCCTTAGCGTTTGGTTAGAAATGCAATACACCGCCAACAGAAATGTCTTGCGTGTAGGTGCCACTTGAATATGTCAGTTCAAAACTCCGGAGCATTTTTCGTCTCCAACACCACAAAAAACCCTTTACTTTTGAGAGAGAAACGTTTTGCTTTCTCAGGCACATGACCTAGTGAGTGCACGGCTGTCGTCAGCTCTTTATTAGTAACATTATTTTTGTATATGTGTTCGTTTTTAGTAACCGCAGTAATGACAATAAAGTGATAAATTAAAATGAGACCCAAACCAGCTGCTTCGGCTGAGTGCAAAAGGAAATGAAAGGTGATAATCTTGTGTTTTCGACCCTTTTGTCTGTGTGGATTACAATACACGGGGTATTCAAGTTCTCATGTCCGATACATGTTTCTTTTCTCTTGATGAAAAGTGCTCAAAAAGCATTTTCAAAATTTGAACGGATTAACAAACTCAGTATAAACTGAAGCTAATTTTCTTTTGAAAGAAGATTACGGAGATTAGCATCCGTTCTTAGGCTGGCCACATGTTAATTCGTTCTTGGTTGTATTTGAGCCTCAGGCGAGTCTTTACAGACTTTACATCATCACGACTAAAACTTCTGAACGCACATTCCTATTTAGATATGACTGATGTAGTGTTGCCTTAACCTATCTCACATTTATTACAACAAAATCCCTCTGCACCATAACGAATCTTGTGATTTGTTCCCAGTCAAATAGAATTGTAGTTATTCGTGTTAGTTTCAAGGTATACTCAGCCAAAGGAAAATCGTCTATATACTGCTCTTTGGCAAAGCCAAGGTAACACCAAATGCTTACTATCAAACAGTCTCAGCTTAGCGTCTAATTTTCTGTGCCAATGGATGATGACACACTGCATTACGTTCAAGTCAATGGAGTTTGCCGTCAATTGTATAATTTTGAACTTTGTCACCCTTGGACTGAAGTAACAAAATTGAAGTGAAGCTGGTTCAAGTTGAGCCATGCAAAAAATAAATACCCGTTGATCGGTAGCAGTTATCATTCAACCACGTTCATGGGGCTGCATGTTTTCTAGCCGGAGGTTATTATGGCCATGATATCAGCCCAGAGCACATTTGTTTCTTTATACTCAGATATCTAAATTAAACCAAATCTCCGATTTTTAAAGAAAATTACAACGGTCAAGAAGTTCTCAAACTGTGTTTAGATAAAACCTTGAGGCTGATCTCAAAAATCATTCGGAAACAAGTCGTTTTACTCTCAACGACGAGCCAGTGTTATCTCCGTCCGATGTGTTTACCAATCAAACATATACATAGTAATGGAAAAAGATATCCTAACTGATACAGCTAACTCGTTAAAATATGAATATGGCTTAATATATGAACACTTGCCGGTTTAGGCAGAGTCTCTAGACATCAAAAGAAAATCCGGCGATTTCATCAATTGTCGTTCTTTCGATCTTGGGTTCCTCAGTGTTATAGTATACAATATCGTTTACACTCGGAACTTTTTATTGAAGATAATTTTTCGAAAATTATTTCGTGGAGCAAGAGCAAGATATTGATGTTAAAGAGGTAGCTTTGAAAGAATATACAGGCAATAAATAATCTTTGACAACTCACGAAAAACAGATCAAGCACAGTTTTAAAAGAATGGCATTTAAGTTCTGGAAAGGCAATACATATTTTTGCTAAAATTGTTTAAAAATGAGGGAAAACCCATTGTAGTTTTGCAAAATCTACTGATATTTGTTAGTAACCTATCGAATACAAGTCCAGTTCAGAGGGTCGCTACTGATGAGGGTATTCGACTTCTTTACCATTCCTCATTACCGCCGTATTCAATAACTCAGTTTGAAGTTTTCTGGGCAGTAGTTTCTACGTTAAAGTCTTCGCTTTTTCTATCTGCTTCTTTCCCCATCCAATATGAAATAAATCAACAACAATTTTTTTGTATATTGTATATTATAAAAGACATAATACTCCAAGAGGATTAATCGTGTACGAGCACTGATCAACCCTTTCCAATATCGAAAAGTCTAACCGAATTACCTTATTTGATAAAATGACAGAAAATGTTTGTGTCACATAGACAGACATGGACAAGTAAACTTGAACGTTTATTCACTATGGTGAAAACTTGATTACGAAGAAAAATAAACCTCGCGTATTAAGAATTAGCCTTATAAAGGTGTTTTTTTTTTTCACTAATATGGATGTATATAGGGCGTTTTATGCATTTTTTACGAAACCTTTTGCTATAACTGTTAACGAAGCTATAAAAATGAACTCCATAAACCTGAGAATTATTTTCTCCGTTGCATGCTTCCTGTCAAAGATCAAAGACTTTCTCCCTGTCTAACTTCTTCTTGGTTTTTTAAAAGCATGTTCACATTCAGACGTTTAAGTTATCAAGTTCATCTTGATAAACTGGGATCTGTTCTACGTATCACAATAACAAGGTGATTTTTTAAGGAGAATACATTGGTAATAAGAAATTCTTCTGACAGAAGATATGGCTTATTACTGTTACTACGTGCCAGATCAGTTTAACAGTTGTACATAATTTCAAAGAGAAGCAACATAAGATATAATCAGCTATAATCACATAATCTTAGTATTGCTGGAATGTTTCTTTATTTCAAGATACGCGTTTGATTGCCATCACGACAGACTTGGACCATTTCTATTTCAAAGCACCCTTGCAAGGCTAGCATCTAACCGAACAACAGTCTTGGCGTCGCCTCTTCTCTTCAGAGATTGAGCACACAAAAGCGATCTGTTTAAATGTAAGGTACTCCTTTCACAGAAATAACACACCGCGCAATCACAAATCGCTCAGAATACACGCACACCGCTCAGTACCGGAGATAACGGGTCGTTTAAAACCTAAAAAATTATAAATTACTCGCCGCCTGTGTTACAAGACCTATTTGCTGATGAAAGACAAAAACAAATTTTCGCCCTTCTTTCTGAGCGCCAACCACTTCAATAGTTTTATTCCAACAAGAGTGCAACTTCCGTAAATATCTGTTTGATACAATGGATACGCTGCCGTTTCCGTTGTTTGATCGGCTTCGCAAAAACGGGCTTATCGCGTAAGTTTCTAACGAGTAAGTGTGGGCAATCAAGGGCACGCTATGTTGAGGTACCGCTAATAAGATAATATATCAAAGAACGAAAAGGCCACGAGGAAAGTGAATCGCAACACAACGATCCGATCCCTTCACAAATAAAAATAAAGCATTAATTACCATCGAGACAGGGCCTTACTCACCTGCAGTAACATTTGATGAAAAGGGAAAGATAAGGACGAAAAACAATTAATTTGATATTCTCTTTTTCGATTCTTTTTAAGATGCTGTGGTATTTCTTTAATTAAGTGCTGTATTGTGTTCCACTGTACAAAGAAACTGCCTCCGTCCAAATGCATCGCTGACTAGACTGACTAGCTGTTGGCGAAATCTGAATTGAAGGTCTTCTGCCTCAACCGTACAAACTGAAAACTTTAACGCATTATTAGAATTCAACATCGAGAGATTTTTACCCGTGACAAGTGAACTTGAATTGAGCTATGTATTTTCGTTTGGAAGCTGAGGCCGAACATAATCATAAACAATCTAATTTGTCCTTTTGTTAATGTACGAGATAACATCTTGGGCGTAAAAGTTTATCGCCTGTCCCTTCCACTCGGACGTCGTTCTAAGCTGTGAAAAATCTGCCCGGTTCTAATGAAATCTATTAGTTGTTTTATGAGGGTTTTTACGTGAGAAATACACTTAATATCTGCCACATAACGCTTTGTAAAACCAAGTTGTCTCGAGATGAATAAGAATATCAAAGCGATAGACATGAGCGTGTGTTACGCGGTTTGTAAGACAATTTGTTGTTATGTTGTTAGTTAACAGTGTTCGATCAAAGCTTACCCAGTAGAGGTAGTCTTTCCCTTTGCTCGGTTTCGTGTCTCCCGAGTATTTGGTCTACACCAAAGCTTAGCTGTTGATAACTTGGTACCGGGGTCGACACGCCAATTCCACTGCTTGTTTCGGACCGAGAGCCGTGAGGTCGGGCTAAAATGTCGTCTATACGAAAAGACGCCATGCTGTGCTCCGCAAAGAAAATAAATCACAACTCTTGTTTCGAAAACGATGTCGATGTTAGCCAGCCAACGATAAAGCTGGAAAGCTATAGGCTCGTAAAGAAGGCAAAGACAAAGAGGTCCCATCAGATGTCGATCTACAATGGCCCACGGGGAGCTAGAAATGACATTGCGTTGTTGATTGTCACTTCGAGTTCCATTAGCGTTGATTTGTTGATTTTTATCATCTTAACTTTTCTTTGTCAATGGGAGACATATACATATAGACGTAATGTGCTTCCTGAATAATGCTTTTTGAGGAATGGTTTCGATTGATATCTGTATTCACAGATGGGACAGGAAGACCCAAGAGCACGCAAGAGCTTTTGGACTTACCTTATATCGCTCACAATTCTTATGGATTAGTAACGGATACTTTTATTTATTATCCAGTTGTGTCTTACAGTTATTGTTTGATACTGAAAATAATAAGCCCAAAATAACATAATCTCTGCTGATTGTAGTCAAGAAATTGAATAAAAGGCAAACGAGACAACTCAATAAAAACAGGTAAGCTTCATGGTTAAAAAGCCATCATGTAGTAACTGCCTTATCTCATAACTAATGGTGTCGAGTTTACCTGGGTGACCATTGGAAGTCAATTAGCACCCATTTAAGGTATTAGATTCACGTATGCTCATTTACACAGCCACACACGTGTATTAATATCCTCTGGCTTAATTAATTCCTCACTCTATCACTACTTGTGTGTTTTCCACGTAGATAAAGTAGATAAAGGAGTTTAACACTGCATTATACGGAAAGACGAAAGAACTCGGCTAGGGGCAATGTTGCTTTCTCGTGTTTTCTTTTCAAACAACTATGCAAAATCAACAAAACCATATATCTTGTTCGCGAGAGTTTTTTCGTGGACAACAATTTCTGCGGTTTCCTCTGAGGCGATAATTCAATTATCGCACGATTAAGATGGAATATGATCCAGGAGCTTTAAAACTAATCCAAAAAGGAAACTGTGCTTGCCAACTCATTATATTCCGTGTACACCATAATATGGAAACAGCGCCGATAGTTTTGACTAAAATGGCTGAATGCTGTCAACATTCAAGCTAGAAACGTCTCGCATAAAATTAAACCAAATGCATTTTTGTTTGCCACGCTGCCATAGGGCATGGTGCCTGAGAAAACACCAACTATCACAGATACTACAGGTAAATGTTGTTTTAAGTAGCACGTCGGCTTGATTATCAACGGTCTTTAAAGATACGAAACAGCTTCCAATAACTAGGCAAATGTTTTTAATCCCTTAAATAGTTGTTAGTGTTATCGGATTATGCAAATCTCTCGAAGCAGTATACAGCCATTTTGCCAGCGATGGCTGTTTGGCTGATACATACATCACACCCAGGATTTTAACACGCTGAATCTGGCGTTGCACGTTATGTTTTTATTGCTTTGTAATAATATCACTGGTATGATTTGAAAGAAAACGTTTTACAATGTTTCCTGATCGTCCTGACAACACATTTTGATTGCGTGAAATGTAGCAGGTCAATAACATCAATATCGTCACTTGTCATCTTCTATGACGGTGGGCAGGAGATACGATGATTTCTCTCTCTCAATCAGTAAGAGCTTTCCCATATAATATTCGTATTTCACTGAGGAGAAGCTTCGACACGATATTTGTGTGACTTCTGTATCAAGCGATGTCTAACCCTAATTTTCATATTACGCTAGAATTTTGTCTCGGAACAGCGATAGAAATTCAAAGAAAACAAGAGAAGTATCAAAGACCTTTAAAAGCTACTTGTGACAAGAAATATTGTTGGCAGGCCATTAAATAACAATCAAGCCACAGATTTCAAAACAGAACCTTCTTTTTCTAGTAGTTACTTGGTCATTTCTTGTGTTTGCCTGCTTTGTGGATTTATTCAGTTTAAAACTAGTTATCACGTTTTTAGATCACAATGAATGTTACAAAAGTTTCTAAGGTGTAACAGACATTTCAGTTTGTTTTATAAACAGTCGTCCATCAACTGATTGAATCTGTTGTTTATATTAGCGAGAGAACATTTTTCTCTGCGAAAATCTTTTGGAAACCGAAAAGCTGTGAACTTGTTGACAAGGCGTGGATTTCTTTCATGCTGATGTTTGGAATTGCTATATTAACGGAGGAGAAGGAAAATATTTGTCTTTGACCGCCTAAATTTTTCAATACAGTGACTCAAACGTTCCGTTTTTTTGAAATGCTTCAAATTCTTCTTTCGACCTTTCATTCACAACTGTCGTAACCTTTACATTTTTAGCCGGCCTTTATGTATTCTCATACGAAAATTTTATGTCAAACCTTTTAATACAACATGTGTCAACATGGAGACCACGCCAGCGTTGAATCGAGTATCACGGGTAGGAGTTGTTTTGAGTGTCTTGTCGAAGTTTCTCGACTTAACTGTGTACTGGATGGAGTGCCGGGAAACGCTTTTGTGAAACTCCTTCAGAGACGTGTGTAAACTGCTTCTTGCAGCGGAAATATTATTGGCATTTGGTTTAATTTGCATTTCTCAATGTTTGCTCCATGGAATCTTCAAAGAACAACAGCTTATGGAGATTTATCCGGTAATGTTTGCGTTTCGCTGTCGCATGGTGAACTAACTCCAGGCAGAACAGATGTTATGCTGTTCTGAGTGCAAACAATTAATTTACTCCTCATTCAAAGGATCACGATAACTTTTCACAAATCTTTTCACCTGCTTGATAAGTCAGAAGTTTTCAAATCCGGTTTTTCGAAAGGCTGACAACTTTAATGACACTTTATTACACAGTCTGCTTGTCAAAGAATGGATTGTTTTTTACTATATTTACAGTCTACATTGTATTCCCTATCATCTGCTTACTAAATGATCCGTCTGGTAAAACTTACAGTAGTTCACAAAATCCACCCATCACGTCCACTTGTTAAGAGCCGGGTGTTCCGCTGAAATTACGTGCGTACAGTCATCAGATTAAGCTGTAACAGTACTTTGCCTCATAAGGCGTTCTTTCATGTTCCTTATCTTGTGTGTAGAAGTACTTCCCTTGTTTGACATGGCGCATTTTTCCATTCGGACAAAAGAGCAACGTTGTGGAAAGTAATAAGCCGTCTGAGAAAAACAGAACTAGAGGAGTCACGTGCCAAAAAAAAAAACTAATAAAGTATACAATTAAATCTCAAGTAAAGTTTTTTTTTTCTCGACTGACTCAGGTCACTTGTCACTAGGCTTTAATTAAAAACTTCGCATTGTTCTTAAACGTGAATTAACCATAATAACGTCACAAGTAGAAAATGCGTTCAAAGTGGTCTGACAGAACTCAGGAAAAAGACTTTGATTGTTTCCGTTGTTGTTTTAAACAATATTTGCCTAAATTTTGTATTCGCTCTTGTACAAGGTTTTGTTCTGTTTACCGTTCTACGGGGGGGGGGGGGGGGG